CAGCAGCCATGTTAAATGAGGTTCACCTACAGTTAAGTTTAAACTGTAAATCCAGAGGAAGCTGCTAATAGTCAATAAATAAATTGTCTTTTTCGCTCCTTCGTCATAGTTGTCTTTATGTTCAAACTATGGTTTGATTGTTTCAGATGACTGCCTTTCCAGAGGAAGTAAGCGGAAATTCAGCCAGGTTACACTTCTGCAGTTGAACTTCTCAAGGTCCAAAGTTAAAATCCGCTCTGGTGAGCTAGCTGATAAGGAAAATCAAGTTTTCCTGAATGAACCCAAAAGTATAAGCACTTGTGGTGCAATTGAAAATTCAAATGAGTTGAAGTGTTGTGAAGAAAATTATAATGAGCTCCACTCGATGTCGTATAGTAACAATCCATCCGCAAATCGTGTAGAACCTCTGGTTGCTAAAGACTCTTCTGATGATAAGTTTGTGTCGCCACCATTACTTTTGGGCATTGAGACGACTAGTCATGTTCCAGAAGAATGTTTGGATGATTTTGACATATCTAAGGTGTTTATCTCAACTTCCATTGTTGGCCGTAGGTATCGTAGTGCGGAGGTGTTGGATCCTGAATCAAAGATTTGCCTTTGTAGAGACCCTGAGAATGTTAAAGATCCAAATGCTATCAAGGTTTCATTTTATTCAGCTTTATATTATTTTCGCTTCTACTTGATTCCTGAGTAAGAGAATGTATTGTTCATCTTGAACAGGTACTTTATGTGGACTCTGAATATGATAACGTTCTGGGTTATATACCGCGGGAGTTGGCCCAGCACCTGTCTCCTTTAATGGACAAGTTCCACTTGAACTTTGAGGTAAAGGAGCTCCTTTGGTGGAGTACATATTTTGAATATTGAATCAGTTTCTTTCTTTGAACCAAAAAGCCATTTCTTTTGTTGGGCTTATCTGCTGGCATGTTGTGAGCCACAGCAACAAGGTTGCAAGCACCAGACATGTTACTGATAGGAAACTAGCTTATCTGCTAACTAGTTTGCATCATTGATGTACGATGGAAGTTTTAATAGGATCTTCTTCTTCCAAATATTTATGTTTATGCATTTATTGTTTGGGTTGACATGAAATGCTTTATTCTTTGAACAGTTTCTTTGATTCTCTACTTGTCAATACACCAGTGAAGAGAAACTTCAGTTTACAACAGCAGTTACTGCAATTCCTGTACTCACTGAAGTTATATGGAAAGTTGTTTTGTCAGTTCTAATATTCTTAAAAACCCAAAGATGCGAGGCTCCCTTTTTTAGCAACTGTCTTTTATTTTGAAGTGAGATACTATATCCTTTCACCACACGCTTTATTGAAGTTAAAATGTGTTAATCTACGTGGGATATCTGTATGATGCTTTTCATTTCATTCTGGAAATGTGGGTGGTTTACATTTCACTGGTGTCTGTCAAATAGTCACTTGTTTTAGTTCATAACATGTACAGGGTAGTATCACTGCCATGCCAAAGGATTCCCGTGCTGCTGTTCCGATTCAGATAGCATGCAAAAATATAGAATTATGTGATCAAATATGTAGTGAGAAAATTCAAGATTTTAAGTCTTTGTGGAGAGATGTTCTACATGCTGTTGATCTTGCGAAGACTAATCCCTCCGGGATGACCAGGTCAATGAATAATCTGGTACTGCTTATACAAGAAGTTTTAAAGAGCAATCCACATCTTTTCACGGACAGCGAGAAGTCTTTCTTAGGTACCATATACAGCACTTGTTGAATAGTATATATTTTATCTATTTGCTAATTCAGTGATTTGGCCTCTTCTTTTCCAGAATCTTTTGTGTCGCTTCCAGATGATAGTAAGAGGCTGTTTGCTCGGCTTTATACACGCAAAGGTCCTGAATGGAACATTCATTTCCTTTCAATTGATTGCCTCTTGGATCTTCATGAATTGATTTTTCTGCTTGTGTTTCCTTGAATCTGTTTAAAAGAGCAGCAGCCTGATAGTCCTTAATGTTTAGTTGTTGATGGATTGGTTAATTTATTAGGAGTCGATGCCTGACCACTTTTTGCACATAATGCTCATCAATCTGCATGTGCCATGTTAGGGAAATCCCTGCCATAGTTGCACAATTCTCCAAAATCTTTTAGTCTAGAGAAAGTGCTCTTTTTTCGTGTTCCAACTTCTTATTTAACATATATCGTCAGTAATAGTGATATATCTCCTAAAGTTTTTCTCATCTAAATCTATTTACTAACTTCATTTGTCCAAATTAAACACGATTCTACTACAATATTTGATCAGCTTATGTTTCTGTTTGTCAATATATATGCCATGTCTCTTAAAATTTGAATTGATATAATGAATATTGAAAAACTTTGACTAAAATGCCCATTAGGACAAATGTATATCTAAGACTTGTCTTCAGAGCTGTACTTATGGAATCTGCCTTGTCAATGTGATGGATGCGATAATCCATATTCTGTTCTGTAGTGTTTAATTCAAATGCAATGGGCTTTCATGATGCTTTTTTTTTTTTTTTTTTTTTTTTTTTTTTTTTTTTTTTTTTTTTTTTTTTTTTTTTTTTTTTTGCTTTCTAAATTTTAATCCAATGCTTTTATTTCGAGACCTTTAGTATTTTCATCCAAACATGTTATTTGTTTATCTGAGATAGTTGATTTCTCATCTCAGGGCCCTGGTTTCGGATGTCTACTATATCATACCCTCAGATAGCTGATTGCCACCTAGCAGCAAAGAAACTTTTAGGTAACATTTGATAACTGAGTCGTTCATGTAATATAGTAACTCTAACCGCATAATTGTGAATTGAATATTTTAAACTGCTTGGCGATGTTCGTACGGTATAGATGCGGGATATATTTCTTCGCTCCAGAGAGAGAATGAATTAGAAGACAATCACTTAGAGGAGGTCTTGAACCTGCTTAACGTTGATGAGCTACGGGGAGCTTTGCGAGTTCTTAACAAGGTCTGTTCTATGATGTTCCTTTAGGATTCACTGTATTGTTTATAGTACTTAAATTTGTATCATAAAGACAATTAGACAAATATGTTGACTAACTGAACTCTTTCATCCATCAATCCTAAAACATAACATCAGTTAATACTCATCCTGGTTGGTATGTCTTGATGAAGTGCAATGATCATTTGGATGGAGATGGTTATTTCTTATTAATGCCTTTGACAGTTTTTTACGGTTTCCTGGAGAAGTTCAACTGTGGGTAAAGATATATGATCCATGACACTATACAAAGTCCTTTTATCTTGAGTTGGTGATTTTGTGAGACTTGTGGAGGGACAACCTGTTTAATTTTCTGTATGTGATCTGAAGCATCTAGTTGCATTTTACAACCGAATTATTTATTCAACATTTCTATATTTATCTTTTTAACTTTAATATTTTCCTACCATGCGAACTGATATTGAGTACCTAATGATTCAGTTTAATAATAAGTGGATAATCTTTCGTAGCGTCCTCTCTCTCTCTCTCTCTCTCTCTCTCTCTCTCTCTCTCTCTCTCTCTCTCTCTCTCTCTCTCTCTCTCTCTCTTTCTCGAGCCGCCTAATTGATTAATCCTTTTTTCCACCCTCTGCACCATTGTTGTTATCCTTCAAAGTTTGCCTAAAATATGACACCACATAGAACATCTCATTTTCTGGTTCATTTGGGTTGTTTGCACATAATGGAGCATGACGGATGGTTCATTCTAAGATTTGTTTGATTCCATAGTTTGTGCTCCTAAATTGATACTGGCTTCTGATGACTACACAGAAAAAGGCATACTGTGTGGACAGATACGGGCCACATACTTCTCATTATGTTGAAATTACATTATTGAGGCTATTAAACAAATGTTTAGCAGTTTTTCAGTCACGAATTTTTCTGACATTTTATGTGCTGTTTTAGTGTGTGTAAGTTGTAACATTCATACGAAAGGCTGGAGCATTCTCATCTTTTGGATAATTTCTTACAAAAGTGTGATTAGTGAATTCACTATTAACACTTGTTTCTCGCTCCCTTTCAGGATTGGTGTATACATAAGTATTTGTTTCATGGAGGATTTGTTTTTTCGAATTTTCAATCGGCGAAAGAAAATAAAGCAGTAGCTCTGGGTCATGTTTTCTGCAATGTGTCACCACTAAGACTCGTATTGAACCATATTATGTTATTTGTAATTGTTCATGCTTTGATACACTGGCACAACTATTTAATCTTATTTTATCCATTCATTTTACTTAATTATATTCACAAGAATGCATATTGTCTTTTCCCCACATGCCACATCATTAGAATTATTCTCGACTTCTCAGCTTTATGTGCACTGTTTTTCCAATGAGGGTTTTCTCACCCAGATGTCATTCAATTACGCTTTTACTTTAAGATTACTTAGGTACTTTCTCAAGTGCAAAAAAATTAAATTAATATGCCCTGGACGAATATTTGAAGTCCCAATTACATCTTAGAAGCTCATCTTCTACATGGGTCCTTGAGAAATTCTCTACTTGGCTAAATGTATCCATCAGAACTCTTATAAAATAAGAGATAACCAATGCTATAATTTTGTAAGTGTGATATCACTGTGTGGCTGTTGAGTCTCTTTGTTTTTTTTGAAATATCAGAAATGCAGTCAGGGTATCCGAAAGAAAGAGATCATTGATTTACTTCTATCTTTGGGCAAGTATGGCTGCTGGTAGGTAAAAATATTGCATTTTCACGACATATCTATCAAATATGGCCTATATCTTTCACATGATTGGACTTTTATTACCTCTTGCAGCCCTGAGCTTCAGAGTTCTGTTTTGAAAGTAACTGGTTCCTGTGTTAAAGTATCTCCGTTGGCTGAATCTCTATTATGGCGAGCTGAGGTCACTTTTATCAATGCTTAAAGTTGGCCAGTTAGCCTATAGTCAGCCGAGAAATTATTTCTTAAGATCAAGCAGGAGCTAATACTTTATCACTTTTACACTGACTTACAGACACATAATGTCATCGTTAAGTCTGTATACATTTAAGTATGCGATTATGTGTCTTAACACCATTCCTTTTAAAGGAAGTACTCCAATTTTTTGGTCACATTGTAATCATAGTTTTGTCTTCCAGAGGCTTTTCTTTCTTAATGGAGAGCAAGACCTGTCAGCGTTTTTGCTTGTGGATCTAGGCATAGTGAAATATCCTGCTTACAGATGCATAGTCTCAGAGCCCATCTTTGTAAATAGGAGTGACTTGCTATTATATGAAGAGGTGCGCTTTATTTTCATGTGTGTAATGAATACAGAAGAATATATTTCCTTACGAGTTGCTCATTTGCAATTATTTGCAGGCTATTGAGATTTCACAAATTATGGTTGAATTACTTGATGAGAACAAGTCCGAGTTGATTTTAAGATGTATAGAGATTTCTGTTTCACGCATGTCAATTTCGTTTGAAGAGGACAAATCGTCTGGCGGTGAATCAACGGCCACCTTTCAATCACACTTTTCAGCCTCGTGGGTCTACTCTAAGGTGGCCCTATTGGGTGTTTCCTTTCTTGAGCGTGAGAAGAGGTAAAGGTGTTCAAATGAGAAGTCATATAGATTGTCAAGTCTATTTTTATTTTCTTATGAAGAAATGGAGCTGATAAGATTTCAATTATTGATTTATTTCAAATAATGACTGCTTTCTGTAGTTCATGCATCTGGAGGAAAAAAATGTTATTTTCTCCTACACGCATGCTGACTATCGACAACTGCTTTGAAGTAGCCATTCTGGCATTTTGACAGGTACACTGATGCCATCAATCTACTCAAACAGCTGCTGAACACTTTTATATCTGATAGAAGAAGAGGATATTGGACTTTGAGGCTTTCTGTTGATCTGGAACATCTGGGGCTTATTGATGATAGTCTGCAAGTTGCAGAAAATGGCTTACTCGATTCATGGGTACGTGCTGGTGCAAGAATTGCCCTCCAAAGGCGGGTACTGAGATTAGGGAAACCTCCCAGGCGCTGGAAAACACCCAGCTATTCCAAATCCATGAAGAGGAAGATTTTTGAGGTATAAAATATAATGCAAATGCCAAAAGTTCTGGAATATAATCGTTTCACTTATGCCAACCCTGTACATTCTATCATCTGATTGATATGACATGCCTTTTTTCTTTACTAATATAATGGCGACAAGGTTCATGTTCAAGGAAGACCGCTGAACTGTAAAACAGGAATGAAGAGCGTATTTTATGGTGAAGATGGAGAACGATGTGGGGTTGAACAGCTCGCATTACAGTATTATGCTGGGGAAGGCGGTGGCTGGCAAGGTGTCCACACGGAGAGTGGCATTTGGCTAACCATTTTCGGTATATTAATGTGGGATGTGATTTTTGCTGAGGTACCAAATGTCTTCCAGAACAAATTTCAGGTATGCTTCTAATCGGTCGAAACTGATGATGGTTTTTCCGATGACAAAATGTTGTAATTCTCTCTTAATGGCACATTTCTTATAAAATAATAAAAGACTAGTATTCTATCATGTGCACATGCATAAATACAACAACAACCAGTATATTCCCAACTGGTTGGAGTCTGGGGAGTCAGTTGTACGCAGACCGTACCCTTGTAATTATACAATGAGGCTGTTTCCGTAGTGACCCAAGGTGCATTGCGTCATTTGATATATTTTTTTTTTCTAGAAACTTCACTAATAGAAGAAGCACTAGAATTTAATTGAGCCATTTTAATCTAGTCCATTATTAGCACTACACCAGGAGAATTGTCAACAATGACTCTTCCAGCTCCATTTGCAATAGACAAGGTGCACATGCATAAATGCAAATTAAATATTATACATTATATATATGTGTGTTTTAAGTAAAATATAAAAATCATAAATTAGATAATGAGCATATCACATTAACAAATTTTATCATTACTAAAACGACGATTTAAATATAAACTATTTAACTTACATATTAATCTTTAAATTTATGCAATCTTTGTTGATTATGACAATTAATTGGATAAAAACACAGTGAAATTATTATATAGCAATTGTGTACAAAGTTGTAAAGGATTTGGTTATGCCATAAAAAATAATTAACTAATATAAAAAAAAACTTGCTTAATGAAGTTAAAAAAAAAAAGATAATAATTTTAAATATATAATTTGAAAAAAGCTCTAGATTAGAATAACATTTAGGTTATGTTTGGTAGATAAATAAGCTAGCTTATAGCTTATTTGGTTAGCTTATAAGTTCCATGTATTCAAATAAGTCTCGTTTGGTAGGGTAAGCTTTTTTAAAAAGCTCGAGCTTATTTGATAAGCTTCCTTAGATAGTTTTCAAATAAGCTAGTTGAATTTTTTATTCCAGCTAACTTATCAGCTAAGTTTACCAAACACTTTTATCATATGAACTAGTTTTTCAGTTATATGTCATAAGCTTTAAGCTATAAGCTGAAAAATTACTGCTTATCAGCTAGTTTTACTTTTACCAAACATAGCCTTAAATGTGTCTTCATTATTAGTTAATAGTAGCAATTATAAAATAAAATAAATAAAAAATATAATTGTGATTAATGCAGTAATGGAAAGGCAGGAAAACAAAAAGAGTTTTATTAATTGCTTTGCTAGCAATTATATATATATTACATATATATATACATAATATAGATTTTTTTTTTATTTTTTTTTTATTTTTTTTTCTTCTATTTAACTGAACATCAAGGGTATAATTTTCAGACTGCACCATTAGATCTTGAAACCGACGCCTTCTATCAAACCCGAAAGAACCTAATAGAAGCACAATGCGAAAAAATCCGAGACGGCATGACGGAGGAATTACTCATCACATCATGGGATTCGCATGTCGGGACATCCTGCCGAGGAGTCAACTGGGAGAAGCACTCGTTGACCGACCTTCGGGCGGCCGTGAAGTGCATAGGTGGGGCCTGCCTCGCGTCCATATGCCGACACCTGGCGCAGGACTACCGGAGCTGGTCGAGTGGCATGCCTGACTTGCTTCTCTGGCGGCTGCATGACTGTTACAGTGGGGAGGCGAAGCTTGTGGAGGTGAAGGGCCCTAGGGACAGGCTCTCTGAACAGCAAAGCGCATGGCTCTTGGTTCTAATGGACTGTGGTTTTAGTGTCGAGGTATGCAAGGTAACTCCGGCTCCAGTAACTGACATGATCAATTAATTTTTGAACTAATTTACAAGGTATTCGTAGAAGAATTTATTTTCACTACCTTTTAGAGGTGTACTTTAGTTAAGTGGGAAGATTCAGTGATTTTTAGTTACACACTTACCCTAAGCCTCCTCAGGCACTTTTTTTTGGTAATTTGGCCCTAGATTAGTTTGAGTCTGTATTTTTGCAAATTGCACACATTTGGGTTTTGTATGAAATTTTAAAACAGTGCCATGAATTGGTTTGAGTTTAATGCTGCTGTTTTCTTAATGAAGGCATGATTCTTAGGATCCAAAAGATTCGGGTTATATGGAAGGATATTTATCAGAAGAAGAGATATTTGTGTTTGGTTTCTTTGCGGGAATAGTATAGAACTTTTGGGAAGCACAAGGTAATTGTCCTATATAAAGGTAGAGGTATGATGATTATGGGTTTACATTCTACTCATTATTATCATACATACGAGGACTGACTGAGCATGGATGAGCAGTCCACAAACCACAACCTGCATATTTCTCTCTCTAAATCTGTAAATCCCCAATTCCGCTTTTGTAACCCTCGTCCGCCTTCTGTGCCAATTCCGCCTTCTCCAGCCGGCCGTCGGGCTCCTTGACGGCGGCAAACCAATGGCTGCGCAACCTATTCCCTGTGGTGCCGGTTTTTCGCTCTTTCGGGTCGGCGGGGTTGGTGACGAGCTGCGGGAGGTCTTCGCCGGTTCTCCTTGGCGCCTTTCCAGGTGGTGGTCGTCAATTGCCGGGGTGGAGAGTGGCGGGCGCGCAAGTTGCAGTTGGGCTTAGGGCGAAATCCAGTCAGTTTGGGTGATCGACTTTCAGTGCTGTTGTTGTGGTTGCTTGGTGTGTTCCCGGCTGTGAGAAGGGCTTTAGTTTATTTGTTTAGGCTGTGTTTGTGTTTTGTGGGAATTTTGTTTTGTGTTATGTGTTTTGTTTTCTCTCTCTTGGGGAGCGTTTATGGGGAGTTTGTGTTATTCTATTTTGGGGAGTTTGTGTATTCTCCTGTGGGGAATTTTTATTATTCTTTTAGTTTTCTTTCTCGTCTTGTGGCGTGTGTTGTGAATTCTAGGCTGCCTAGTGTAGTCCTTCTATTCCGACTCTTCAGTTGACTGTAATTATGTGTTTTAGTTAATGAATTTATCGTTTTGAAAAAAATAAAAATAAAAAACAAGCATGGATGAGCATATATGGGCATTAGGGTTGTGGGTGACTTGACTTGTTGTGGTTGGACGAATGTACTTTTGGTTGGTGGTCTGGACACTAGCTCGAGCTCGTCCACTGATTTGGGTTGGCACCTTGCTCTTTTTAATTTTGTAGTTTCATGCGTGTAGTGCATGCATCATTATCTTTGACAATTTGTCAAAGATAAAAGGGAGTTTTGTGTCTTTTTAAATAAATAAATAAATAAAGGAAAAACGCGCAAGTTTTGTTAAATAATAGGTAGTCGCTTCAATTTACATATATCGGTTAAATAAATTGGCCAGGTGTTGCCTAGGCGGGCTTGGGGACAGGCGGTGGGGTAGCGCCTAGATTGGCTCGGCGATAATTTTTCA